AACGGGAGACGAGACTACTGGAGACTAGACAAGTCTAGTCACGGCGAAAGATACGCAGCAGCAGCGGCAGCAGCAGCAGCAGCAGCAGCAGCAGCAGCAGCAGCAGCACATGTTCTCGCTTCAACTTGGCACAATTCAACTCCACGCGTGTGGTGCGCAAAGAACATGGGTATCATCCTGCGAAACATTAGTGAAGCACCGAGTGTATATACTGCTGACATGAGGAAGGCCCCCCTGAAGCACCCAGAGCACACGAGACAAATTGCGCGTCACCCAGCAGCGCTCTCTGCACACACCGCAGCAGCGACGGGGGAACTCGATTTTTCAGCCGCAGATCTCCGCCTTTTTTTCACATTGTGCACCGCTGGTGAAAACATCAACGCAAGCCCGTAAACCATCGCACAACAGCTGCTGCTGAAAGCACACAACTCTAGACAACTCTAGACTATCTAGTCTAGATGCTCACCTGACTCGTCCGTGTTCCAAACGTGGTCGGGTGCTGGCTTGTGCTCGTTGACGAACTCCTGCCAGAACTTGTAGAAGTTGTGCAGACGATCATTTTCCGGCGAGGTCATCCTGTTGGCCTCGTAAATGCGGGCGAGTCGAAGGCTGATGCGATCGTGCCTTCGGAGGAAGCCCTGCAACCACGACTTCCCCGGGCCCTTGTCGGGGTCCCATGGGATCGGCCGGCCGTCGTTGCAGAGCTGTCTCACACGCTCCTTCAGGTCGTTCCTCGTGAGAGGAATATAGTTCCGACCAGCGTACAGCAGCACATCTTTTTCGCGCATTTTCTTCCTCTTTCGTCAGCACAGTCCCGTGGCCAACCCGTGCGTCCATGTCGCACTCACCGCTCAGGCGCCGCAGTAGCGAGGTCTTGCTCAACCCAAAGGCAGCAGCGGCAGCGTAGCGTGACATGCTGCCGTTGCGGACCGCTGCACACGCCTTCTCGGCCGCTGCGGAGTCCACTCTACTCCGACCCATGCTTAGCAGGAAGGCGGACAAAAGTGCTAGTCTACGCAGAATCATCCGTGCTGGTGCATCTGGTGCTGTAGCTCGTGGTGGAATGGTCGGATCGTCGCGCTGAGGTGCGCAAACGAAAGCTAACGCTTTCGCAAGAAATAAATTCAAAAAATAAATTGAGGGGGACGGCAGATTGCATTCGATATACTCGTAGCATAGCATGCGGGTGGTATATTGCATATTCATATGCGGGTATTGCAGCGACGAACTACAGAGGAACAAGAAGTTTCTTTATGTTTTCCTTGGGAGTGTGGTTGGTGTAGATTCATGAAGATTCGTTTTGGATGTT